AAATTTTTTCCGTTTTTAGCTTCTTATTTATGTTCGTAGCTTTTGTTTTGTTTTGGATGTTTTCAATAAGCCTTTAGTTTTCTTAATGCCACGGTTATTTCCAAAGGTGGAGTGTTGTGTGAACCGGATGGCTCTTCCCAATGATGGATGGCGTGATAACCTTCTTAAGGGTTTGAGTCCGTTTTTGTTTTTGTTTTTAGAATTTTATAGTTAAGGATACCTCAAACAAAGCTTCACTTGGGCCTAGCACATTTGCCTTTGATCCCATGGTCAAAGACAAAATGTTGTGTTAGGATGGTGAAAGTCGTGACCTTGAGACTCTTGTATTGACCGATAATCATCAAGTGGTTTTTTGGGACCATTATGTGCTCAAATCGTATCTAAGGTCGTTGTGGACCCCCGACTTTATGTCTTTAGCGATCCTTTAGCTTGTGTGGTGAGTAATTGAATTGCAAATCCAAGTCCCAAGCCATTGGTCTAGAACTTGCCCCGAATGTTTGTTGAGGCGAAATCCTAAGTGAATTTTGACTTGAGATGTGATCATAGGCCCTCCTTGATCCAAATAATAGCTTGAAAATTCCATATCCTACCAATGATATGATCCCTAGTTAGCCCTTTTGAGCCTTAGACCTTTTTCTTTCAAGAACCATGAGACAAGCCTATACCCGTTCTAAAAGGTACCCTCTCTTGGCACCATATCTTTCCTTGAGAACATGGCAAAAGTATAAGTTTGAGGGGAGAGACGAGGGTGGCAACAAAGTGGTAAAAGGCACAAAAATGAAGAAAAGGAAAGGCAATGAAAAAGAAAGAAAAACAAAAGACAAAAAAAATGCTCAATGTGAAAAAGAATAAAAAGGGATTCAAGAAAAGCAAAAGAATGAAAGGTGTGGAAAGTTGAAAAAGGAGAAACGGTTTGAATTGCATAAGAAAGAGTGACAACGTGTCCCTCTATCCCATTAGAAAGAGGTGAGATGACTCAAAGAGTCAAGAGAATGTATGTCGAATGAATCAAAAGAAGTGCTTAAGGGAAAATGGAACCCACTTAGATCAAAACATTCCCTGCCCTGAACCAAAAGACTTCACAATGACTCCATAAAAGCCCTATATGATCTTGAGTTGAATGAAGTTTACATTAGTGGATACTCACATAAGGGGCAAGCATATGGTACTTAGAGCCAGACTTGTGACTTTTTCTTGAGAGAGATGAGTGAATTTCCATTAACCTTGGTTTGTATGCCAATATTCTAAAAAGGTGAGGTTTGCTTAGGGAGAGTTGAGGATGTGTGAGTTTGGGTTCCACAATGACCAAAGTAATTGAGAGAGTTCTTTGATGTGTTGAGTCAACTCTTGATGCTCTTGTGTCGCACTTGATCCATGGTTTTTCAAAGGTTAAATGTTGTTAATGATTCATTTGTATTGAGGGCAATTGTTAGTCCCAATTGATGCTAGTTGAGGTTGCTTTAGGACAGTTGAAAATTTCTTGGATTTTCCTTTAGGGGTGGGTCTTATTTTGTTTGCTTGAGGACAAGCAAAAGCTTAAGTTTGGGGGAGTTGATAACTAGGGATTTTGATGCATTTTATGCTCCTTCTTGCTTGCGCTTTGATTATAAATTCATACAAAATAGTCCCAAAAGGCTCATAAGTTGTGCTTGATTACAGGTTCGATCAAAAAAGTGACAAGATGTCAAAGATCAGCTCAAAAGGAGTGAAACTTGCACAAGTACCAAAGACAAGACAAACTCAAGACAAATAGGCCTAGTGCGACTGCAGTACACTTTGTGCGGTCCGCACTAGGGAGATTTAGAGACCTGGAGTTGAAGGCATCAAAGCAGTGTGGCCGCAGTACATATTGTGCGGCCCGCACTGAAGACACCACGACCGCACCACCATTTCATGCGGTCCGCAAAAGCAATGTTCAGAGAGATGTTAAGTGCCAGGGTTCAAGCTTGTGCGGTCCGCAGTCCATTCTGCGCGGACCGCATTGGAAGCCTTCGCGACCGCGACCCATTCTGCGCGGTCCGCGGAGCCTGGGTTCAGAGAGTTGGAATTGCAGAGTCAAGAGCCTAGTGCGGCCGCACACCATTTTGTGTGGTCCGCACTGACCTCGCAGGGGCATTTTTGTCCAATTTTTTCAGCTTAGTATAAATAGAACCTTTTTCCATTTTTAGGGTATCAGATATTATCAGTTATTTTCTGAACTGAGCTGCGCTCGTGAGAAGATCATCTGTAGCCATTTGGGCATTTAAACTTAGTTTTAACGATAGAATCTTTGTATTTACTTTAGTGTTTAATTAATCTGCCTTTATCTTCATCTATTTCTCTATTCTTCTCTTCAAGTATGAGTAGCTAAACCCATTAGCTATGGTTGTGGCTCAACCCTAGTGTGGGTAATTGATGAGTATTTTGATTTAGGGCTAGATTGACTATGGGTGTTTGTTATTTGGGTTAATTTTATGGTTTAATTTATGAATTGGTGGTTCCAAACACTGGTTTGTGCTATGAGAAAGAGAGTCTAAGTCTCCAAAATTGACCCAACAAGGAATTGGGATGGACTCAAGAGAATTGATAGTCCCAATTAAAGGGTTAAACCTCGAGAGAGTAATTACCCGACTTGAACCCTAGTTGCTTGAGCAAATTTGCCTACCCATTTGGTTTTGAGAAAGTCAATTGGGCAAAATCACTCTTTCTACCGAGAGGTGTGAGAGTGGATAAAATCGTGCAGCAGTTATAGCATATTTCTCCAATCCTGTCAATCGTGCCTTAGAAGCAATTACCTATCAATTAGCCACCTAGGTGAAAGTCACTACCCTTGTGCCTTTTTATCCATTAGATACAACTTTTAGCAATTCTCGTTTAGCATAATCTAGTTGCATTTATAATTAGTAGTTGATAATAGTAGTTTGTTAAAGAAAAATAAAAAATGATTGGAAGTGATATTTGGAACAAATACATAATTCCACTCTAAATAGATACTCGACTCCATTCCTAGCTCCCAGTGGAAATTGATCCCGGCCCACAAATCGGGTAAAAGCTATTGCGACCCTCTCTTCCTACTTTTTAGTAGTGCGGAGTAGGCTACGATCACTTAACCCCAAGGACTTATCCATTCTCGCCACATTTTCACTCATCTTTTCTTATCCTTCCTCTTGTCTTCCTAGAACCTTATAGTTCTACCATACTTTAGCTTGCGACCTACACATATCTATTTATACTTATTCGCAACCTTTCTTCAACCTGCTTGCACCATAGATTTCCTTATATTATTATGGAACGTCAAGCAAGACACCACATACCACTTTGGTCAAAGGTGCTTAGAAGAGAAGAAAATTCCGTTACAAGTTTCTTGTAATAACCTGCCAAAAAAAAGAAAAAACTATGAACCTTCATCGGTGTTATGGGTCTAGGAAAAGTCTTCACTGCCTCAGTCTTTTATGTATCCATTCGAATGTCCTTACCCGAAATAATATGCCCAAAAGCTACAGAGTTCAACCAGAGTTGATATTTAGAAAATTTTGCATACAATTTCCCTTCTTGTAGAATTCCGAGCAAAGTACGCAAATGATATGCATGCTCAGCCTCTGAACGAGAATATACCAATATATTGTCAATAAATACAATTACGAATAGATAAAAAAAAAAGCCTGCACACATGGTTCATTAAATCCATGAATAATGCTGGGGCATTGGTCAGACCGAATGACAAAACCCGAAACTTATAGTGTCCATATCTAGTCCTGAATGCAGTCTTTGGAATATCTTCATCCTTAACCCTTACCTGATGGTACCTAGACCTCAAGTCTATCTTTGAAAAACACTTGGCACCTTGTAACTGATCGAATAGATCATCAATTCTCGGGAGCAGTTACTTATTCTTGATCATCACCTTATTCAGTTACCTATAATCAATACACATTCGTAAGGAACAATCTTTCTTTCTTACAAATAACACAGGTGTTCCCTATGGTGACATACTAGGTCTGATAAAACCTTTTTCAAACAAGTCCCTTAGTTGTTCCTTTAACTCTTTCAGCTTTGCGGAGGCTATTCTATAGGGGGGATAGATATTGGATGAATATCTGGTAGTAGTAGGTCAATGACAAACTCTATTTCTCGTTCTAGTGGAAGACACAGAAGCTCATCGGGGAAAACATCGGGAAACTCATTCACCACAGGGATGGACTGAATGGTTGGTGACTCTACTTTCACATCCTGAACCCGAACCAAGTGAGAAATACAGCCCTTTGATCATCTTCCTTGCCTTGAGATAGGAAATAAATCTACCTCTCGGCGATGCTGTGTTACCTTTCCACTCGAAAATAGGTTCTCCTGGGAACTGAAATTAAACCATCGGGAGTTGGCCGAGGATTTCTATACCGGTGAACTGCCGGAGAAGAATGGAGAGTTAGTTAATTCCGGGGGCTTAATTAGGGCAATTTAAATGGGGGGTTTTTGAGAAGAGAGGGAATTTGGGAGTTGTCCGGGTTAACTCCGGACCCGTATAGTTTTGGTCATAAATGTATGCATTCGTATGGCTGGTCCAAAGTTACATTATTGTATAAATCAGCCAATGAGAGAAATTGTTTGAATTCTAGTTTAAGTTGGACATGTTTTTCTCTTTTTGGTGGAAATACTTTTATGTAAAATATTGTAATTCAAAATTTGTTGGTGACTTGGATGCTTTTCAAATAAAAGTTGTAAAAAGATTGAATTGTAATAAAACAATAAAGAAAGAAGATGTATCACATTAGGGAGAGAATTCTTATTGATTTGAGATAAATTATAATGGAATAGAACCCCTTTATTTATAGGGAAAAAGTGACTTAGACAAAAAATAAAAAACCTCTAAAATCTCTCCAAAAGATAGGCAGTCGCCGTTAATAAAATACTATTTATAACACTCCCCCTTGAATATCTATCCAATAGATAATGTGTCTCATTAAAACCTTAACTAAAATAAAATTCAGTGGAAAAAAATTTAAGTGAATGAAAAAGAATACACATATCTGACAATATGTTTTTTGCAGTGTTGTGAAGGGCGTGAAGCGAGAAAAAGCGACAACCCCATTTCACGAGAAGCGAGAAGCAAAACGCTCGCTTTTTTTAAGTGAAATGGAATTTTAAAAAAATTAAAATAACTACTACATAGACAATACATGTAATTGTAAGCAAATGTTCAATACTTCAATTAAAAAACTAAAGAGTAGCATCACTTAAAGCACAAATGAGTATCCTATTCTTCTACAAGATTGTCAAATTCTTGTATTCCACTATTATTATTATTATGTTGCTCATCATCTTCTTCATCAACTAGGGACAAAGTAGCTGCCTGTTTTTCCTTCCTTTGTGAACTTGAAGTTGAGGTACTCCCCCTCAAACCATAAACCTCTCCCCAATTTCACGCGCCTCCGCAACATCACCCCAAGTGAAATCAGAAGTATCCTCAAATACTTCTTCATCTGCATGATCTTCCGGAACTCCAGTTAGCCATTCATTAGCATCATAAATGTTTTTCAAACTAATTGGATCAATTACATTGTGAGCGTTGTAACAACGCCTCAATGTTCAATTGTACTTAATAAAGACTAGATCATTGAGACGCTTCAAGGTTAGTTTGTTCCTCTTTTTTGTATGAATCTGCAAATAATAAGTAATTAGTAAGATTAGGACAATCGAGATATAATTTAATTATCTCAATATACTAAATCTTTCTTAGTAGTTATTACATGCTCAAACACGCTCCAATTCCTTTCACACCTGGATGAGCTACATGTTAGACTTAGAACCTTGATGGAAAACTTTTGTAAATCTGGAGTAGAAGTAGAAAAAAATTTCAAAACATAATATTGATAAAGAAATAACTTATTAACTATAAAACAACATATAAACACTTGTCACACCTCCTTTTACCACCCGAAAGGTATAAGGGAGTTCTTCCAATTAAAGTGACATTATTCGAAATGAGATTATTTATTTAATCAGAGTCGCCACTTGGGATAGTTTATTTGGTGTCCCAAGTCACCGGTTTATTTTAAATCCCAAATCGAGGAAATTTCGACTTTCCTTTTGAAGTCTGCGAACCAGAAATTCTGAATAAGGAATTCTAATAACCCGAGGGAAGGTGTTAGGCACCCTCAGATTCCGTGGTTCTATCACGGTCGCTTAAACTATTATAATTGGTCTATTAACTTACTTTAATACATGTTTTGGCCTATGGTGCAATTATAACCTATGGTATGATTTTAAATTATTAACCGCTTTTAATTAATTTTAAAGAAGATTCAACGTTATTTAAAACACGTCTTTGGACCACGCCACATGAAATGCACTCGTGGTCTGAGACACATTTTATTTAACGTTGTTAAGATTTGGAGTTGGGTCACATGAAATGCACACCCGAGTTTGAGGAAATTAATTTAACTAACACACCTAAAATAACTACGCCTTTTCAAGTTTGCGAGGGCCATGAAGAATTCAGCTAATGGCACACCTCGATTCTAAAGAGTTAAAGAATTAATTAAGTGAGGACCATGGATTAAGGATAGGAAACTATTGTGGAAACATGGTATGATCTTTTTGTTAGGCTAATGGGCTAATAAATATTTAAAAGAAAACTACAACCCAAATGCACTTTCTTTGCATCCGATTAATTCCAGCCGCTACGCATCCCACTGTTTAACAAATATCAATTTGAACTCATGAATTAATCACACAAAATGAATAAATGGGACAACCAGTGATTAAGGTAACAGTTCCAAAATATATGCAAAGAATAGCTAGAAACAAAAGAAACTCTATACAAAACTAAATTGTTACGCGTCTGGTTCAACAAAGTAGTCAAACATTTTTGCAAACTTAAGGAATTAACATTATTAAATTGTTTCCTCAAATGCAGTGCACCTACTACTTATTAGCTCAAATTATTTTGCTTGTAATCCCAGTACGTGTTCCATCCTATTCCATTAATGGGATTCAACAGTAAAAATCATAATACTTCACAGATCTGTACAACATCAAATAGTCAAGCCAGTGAACACATAGCTAAGAATTGCACAAAGCACCAACATTGCACAAGATCACCGATAACGAACTCGTAACTATTTTAAACCAAGCAAAGGCATTCTCGTTTAAGAGTAAAGAACAAACACCAAGATTAATAGATATTACAATCAAAGGCCACCAAAATAAAATCCAGAGATTGAATGATGAACAAGGAATTTAGTACCGGACCTTTTCAGAAGCCGAACTTCTTCAAGCAAATTTTATTAGCAAGCATTTCAGTGAAATTACAACAGCTGAGATCAAAGCCGAATGGACTCCAACAGAGAAAATCCCACCAGAAATCGAATGAAAGTGCATCGGCACCGGAACCTCGAATGCTTTACATGTGAGCTGATGTTTTTTGCGGCAGGTTTTATGGATGTACGCTGAATTTTGACTACTTTTTGGCTAGATTTTAGGCTAGTATTTAGCTGATGTTTATGAAGGTTAAAGGGTTAAGGAGGTTTTAAGATTCGGCTGTTGAAGAAGGAGGTGAAGGCTGCTGGTTCCAGATTGGAAAATCAGCGAGAGGAAGGGGGCCGTTTGAGCTGCGGCGGATCTAATTTTTTTTCTTTTATTTTAGGTGTTAGATACTATTATATAGGGGTAGGAGTTAGGTTAAGGGTATGAGCCTAGGGATTATGGGCTTGGGAATTATGGGCTAGGCCCAAAATTTAGGCCTAAAAATGGGTTGCTCGAGCCCAAGTTTTATTCTTTATTCGCGAACGGGACTAAAATACGACCTCACTTATTAATTAGTCCTACTTAAATAAAATAACTATTAAAATAAGACTGACCATTAAAATAAACTATTTTTGGTATTTTTCAATATAAAAATAAAAATTAAACGTGCACAAAATGCAAACAATTAATAAAATCCTACAAAAATGGCAAATAATTGAAAAAAAAAACTATTTTCTTTGATTTTAGAGGAGCAACTCATATAGGGAAAAAATAAATTCTAATTAATTAAACTAAACTATATTAAAACATGGAACTATTACATATTTTTGTATTTTTTTTTTACTTTATGAAAGGTACATAAAATAAAATATTTTTTGTAATTTTCATTTTCTTGTAATAAATAAAGTAAAAGAGTAAAAATGAGTTGAAATAGATATATCGGGCCTAAATTAAATATTTACGTGCTAAAATATGAAAAATCTTGGAGAGGGTCAAAATTCACATGTCTACAGCTGCCCCTCTTTGATTGGAAAGACGAAGTATTTTCAAACAAAGAACAACTAGACAAGTTTTTGACCCGACCCTTATTTGGAGAGACTAAAACTAAGAGAGAGGGGAATGTGACCGAGCTTTGGTATCTGAGCTGCCTACATATCCTTGGCTATAAAGGAATCAGGACACGTGTGGTTCTGAAGTGAGTGCGATGATGGAGTATGCCGAGGTGGACAGCCGGTCGAGGTTCCGTTCCGTCGAGGATCCGGTCCGCAGTCTCGTTATTACATCAAAATCAAAAATGAAAAAGATTAACTAAGCCTATCAGCTATGAGTTACAAGATTCCTATCTATGAGTCTTCTGAAGCTTGATCTTGAGTCTTGGTTGGTACTTCATGCGGACCCTAATCTGAATCTTGATGCTTGTTAGCTACATGTGTTGGTTCAATCTTCTTCAGCTTTTCAAATCAAGACGGGACATGCAGAGCTTGTGACCTCAGCCATGTCTTGAGCAACTCACATCTTTCATTAACTTCTGCATTTGGATTCACTTCTTGTCTTTCTTTTTGTTTTTTTTTATTCTGGATTGTGACTAATTTCTGTTGATCATCTAGGACTGCTGACTCACATTCTTGACGCGAGCTTCTTTTGTTGCTGACTCGAATTGTATTCTGAATTGAATTCCCTCTTTTTTTCCAGGTGGGCGCCTGATTGTTGAACTTGAACTGTCTTCTCTTGTTACTTGACACTGTTTTCCCTTGCACCTTGAACCATTTTTTCCTAAAACTTGAACTGTCTTCCTTTGAAACTGCTTTCCCTTGAAACTCGAGTTTCCTTCCTTCGAAACTGCTTTCCCTTGAAACTTGAGTTGTCTTCTTTCGAAACTGCTTTTTCCTTGAAACTTGAGTTATCTTCCCTTGTTCTCCAAGTGGGCGCCTGATTACAACAAAACAGACAAAACAAAAGAAATTTTTTCTGCCCCAGTTTGCACCAGGAAGATTTGTGAGTTGTTAGCAAAATTGTAAACCACTTGTACTATTGGTGCAATGATAAGAGTAAACTAAAGAATATACTAGAAAAACTATAAACTAAGCTTGACTAAAGTAAAGACTGACCCTATTCTCCAGGCGGGGCCCCTGA